TATGACAATGGTTAACAATCTCACAACACATCAACAATATCCTTACTCAACCTTGGGTTCCCTATCACCAGCTTCCTTGTCCGCTTCTGCCTTCTGGCCCTTGTCACTGGACTACTGTATCCTGAGATACCCTTTGAACTTGGAACTGAAGCCACTTCCGGAGGTCACCTTTCATCCAAATAATAGATTGGCTTTTAGAATAAACAGTATTGCCCATGCGTACTGTGCTCCCTTAAATAATCAACTATAAGAGACCAAACAGTCAACATTTACCCTAAAGCAAAGATGAGAAGGTAAGGAGGGGCAGGGAAGCTAGATTAATGGAAACAGAACAAAAAGAATAGAAATAATGAGAATGCTGACACATTGTGAAAAATTAACCAATGTCATGGAACAATTTGTATAAAAATTGTTTCATGGGATCCCAATTTGCTGTGTAAACTTTCACCTAAAACACGATAAAAAAGTATTAAAAAAAGCAAAAAAACCCCACCAAAACCAAAATCCATATGGAAATGCAAAGGACCCAGACTAACCAAAACAGTCTTGAAAAAGAAAAAAAAAAAAAGACTTACACCGCCCAATCTCAAAACTTACTACAAAGCTACAGTAATCAGGTCAGGTAGTACTTGCTTAAGGAAAGACATATGTATCAATGGAATTGAGTTGGGAATCTAGAAATAAACCCTCATATTTGTGGTCAATTGAGTTTTGACAAAGGTGCCAAGACAAATTTAATGTGGAAAGGACAGTCCTTTCAGCAAATGGTGCTGGGATAATCATATCCACATGCAAAAAAGAATTTGGACCCTGATATCATAGCGTACACCAAAATTAACTCAAAATGAATCATAGATGTAAATATGAGTTAAAACGATAAAATTTTTAGAAGAAAATAGATGTGATCTTGAGATAGGCAAGGATTTCTTAGATATGATACCAAAAGCACAAACACGGAAGAAAAGAAAAAGAGAAACTGGGTTTCATCATAATTAAAAACTTTTATGCTTCAAAAGACACCATTAAGAAAATGAAAAGATAGACCATAGACTGGGAGAAAATATTTGCAAATCATATATTCAAGAAAGAAGTAGTATCAGGAATATATGAAGACGTCTTTTAACTCAACAAGAAGAAGACAAATAACTAAATTAAGCAATGGGCAAAATATTTTAATAAATATGTCATCAAAGAGGATATACAAATGGCCAATAAACACATGAAAAAGATGTTCAACATCATTAGTCATTAGGGAAATGCAAATCAAGGCTATAATCAGATACTACGTCATATCCACAAAAGTGGCTATAATTAATAAGACAGATAATAACAAGTGTTGACCAGGATATGGAAAACTTTGAACCTTATTACATTGCTGGTGGAAATGTAAAATATTTTATCCATGTTGGGAAAGAGTTTGGTAGTTTCTCAAAATATTACAGGTAAATTTACCATTATCACCCAATAGCTCCACTCCTAGGTGTCTATCTAAAAGAAATGAAAGCATATGTCTACTAAGCAAAAACATTATGCTTAGTGAAAGAGGCCAGACACAAAAGTTCACATATTGTATAATTCCGTTTATATGAATTGTCAAGAAAAGTCAAAACTGTAGTGACAGAAAGTAGATTAGTGGTTGCCAGGACCTGATGGCAGGGAGGTAATAGAGTCACTACAACAGGCATGAGGTTTCTTTTTGGAATAATGAAAATATTCTAAAATTAGATTGTGGAGATGGTTGTACAACTCTGTAAATTTACTAACCATCACTGAATTGTACACTTAAAATGAGTGAATTTTACGGTATATAAATTGTATCTAAATAAAGTTGTTAAAAAAATCTTAAGCCCAGAAATGTACATGTAAACAAAATCTTAACTAATACACTAATACTTATTTCATGCTGGATAATTTAGCCCACTATTAATCCTGACATATATTCTTATCTTGAAGAATATAGTTATAAATCAAGTATATTTCTTCCAGGTGAAAGAGACTAAAGTTCAATGAATTTCTAATGTCATTAGACTCCTTTCTAGAGTTCTTGATTAATAATAACTTAACTTTGCAGTACATCACCAACTTGGAACTAGTGGAATTAGAGTAAAGCTGTATATATGGGACAGTGGATGTGCTCTCTGCTGTACAGTTAGTAGATTTTGTCACCAATAGCAGTTCAGTTAAATTTATTGATCTGCTAAGATCACTATGATCCTAAGGTGGCTCCCAAAGGTATAACTAGGTGTGCCGGGAATCAAGAATTTAATTTTAAGTTATGTTATACCACTTATGGAAAGAAGTTGGGCTGTGTTTCACACATTCCTTATTTAATCTAGTTTATCAAACAGTGTTTGAGGGTATATGTGTTGAGAGACATGAAAAGTTATACAAGACTGCCTAGCCTGGGTCTCTGGGAAATCGTAATTGTAAGAGTTCCATTACTGATAGCACAAATGTGTTGAAAGTCTTTGCTGAATCCAGGTACCAGTTATAAAATTCACAATGTGAAAATCAAAATGCTCCTTGACATTTCAAGAGCATTGCTAAATGTTCAATAGCAGGATTATGATCCTGGAAGAGACCAAGTCTGCTAAGGCCTCAGAGAGAGAGTAGGTGATCAGAAGAAGGCTGTAAGGATATAGTGAAGCACAAAACCATATACAAGCAGATGTGGAATTCTAGTGGAAAATAGCAGTAGACAAACCCAATTGTTGTGTAGCTTCCAAAGTGAAGTCGGCAGCCTTTAATGAAAAATAGAATCACAAACAACCACGGCCTTAGAGCTGACTGCAACAATGTGTTACAGTCACATCAGAGTGCTTCTTCAGCCATTTTGGGACAGGGGACAGCACCACACAGTGTCACTCTGAAATACTATGGAGTCCTGGGGAGGGGAGGGGAAAGGTGTTTTAGGCATGGGTACCTATTCTTTTACTTGTGGGTAGTATACTCCCTAGTGCTGAGAGGAGCCTTTTCTACAGTTGGAATAGAGTCTGTCTGTTATACATATCTGAATAGGGAAATCTGTACCCATGAGCTATTGCAGCACATCTGCAAATGTTCATTGAATATGCACACTGAATATTTCTGATTACATACCTATGAGCTATGAAACCTGTAGGAGATTATAGAATGCCTGATAATGGCATTCTATGTAGAACTGATTATTTTCTCACATTCATCGTTTGAAAAGAATGGGAAGTATTAGTTATTTCATAGTTTCAAATATACAAATTTTTACACTAATAAAATTCACATTGATTTATGGTCTATAATTTATGCGTTATAATTTTAATTACCTCATAGGTATTTTAAGAGCTCAGTAATACACAGTACATTTTATGGTTTAACAAGAAGACAACTGACAAGTTATTCCATGACAAAACCAAGTAAAGATAGGAGTCTTTCTGACAACTATTTAAAAAAAAACAAACTGCAGGTTAGACCAGGAAATCGATTTCATTTTCAAATTCTAGGAATGTGAATTAAAATGGAATATTATTTGGCAATGAAAAGGAACAAAGTATACATGAATTTGTATTAAGCTTTCATTGATTACTTACTTTGGTATTTTGCTTTGTATTTAATAGAGTAAAAAAGCTATAAAGAATATCCTACAAAAATGCACCTATCTACCAGCTCTTGAACCATTTCTGTATGATGCTCCTCCCAATATTCTGAAGCATGTGGTTGGACAGTTCAGTAAGGTAAGAAGCATTCTCTTAGCCTATACATTGGGGAAGAAAATGAAAATAATTTCTTAACTTGTTTTTTCTGTTGGGTCAGTGTGTTTCCTTCTGTTAGATGGGGGTAGGGTTTTACTACTCAGCTCTCACTGATCTTGATTGACAGGGAAGGTAACATAGGTTACTAAAAATCACACAGAAATAGAATGCTTCCTTTTTCCTCACTTTTTTTCCCCCCACAGCCTCTGTACTGTCTTTTTTAGTGTTCTCAGGGAGTAAATAGTATGCCAACACAGGAAGACCTCATAATAGGATCATTTATACTGATAAGTAATTTTTAGTGATTTTCCCAATGTCTGTTAGTCTCACTTAGGAACACAGAAAAGATCTTATAAAGAAAAGGAAAAGGTCTCAGAGCCACTAAGTCCACGTACTTTACTGCAGATGTTCTTAGGTAGTCATTTAGAGCTTACTAACTTATTTTATGAACAGTTTCAACAACCGAAGCTGTCAGATTTCTTAGATCATTGCCGATTAAAGGTAGTAAGATAGAAAAATCAGGCTGCTAGAGGTGAGAACGGCCAGCATAACTGACTGACTACTGTTAGCAAAGGAGGAGAGAAATGACTGCATTTCAGTAGTCACTGATGGTTAGGATGGTGACACTAAGCCATCAAGGACTTGGAAAATTATGCTCAGCACACTTAAGAAAATGGGGTCTGTGGAAGTAGTATCCCATAGTGGCTCAGACTGTGGAGGTGGAGTGCTTAGATTTCCCACTTACCAGCTCTAATATCTTCAGCAAAGTTTTGACCTCTCTAAGCCTTAGTTTTGTCACCCATAAAATGGTACCTTATCTCATAGAGTCATTGTAAAGATTAAATATGTGATATTGTATGTAAACAGTTTGGCTCAATACAGGGTACACATAGTAAGCACTAGATTAAAAAAAAGTTTTTAAAAAATAAAACACTGAAGTGAATGGGGTACAAATTCACTTTGATTAGTCAGTTATAATGCTATATAAATGAGGTACTGTTGTTTGAGTAGTATATTTCTACAAATAATGAAAATATACATTGTCATAACTTTTAAACTAGGGACTACAGTTAAAAAAGTCTAGTTTTAGACAATTATCTTAAAGATAGACTCTACTAACAGCCTTCAGTTCTCTGAACTCTTTCCATGATCTCCAACAGCTTGACTGACCCTCAGACATCAAGGCTACTGAAAAGTAGAAGGTTTTACATTGCTAAAGCCACCACAGGATACAATTCTGTGTATCAAACACCTATGTTCTGTCTGTCTCCTTCTAAGAAAATAAGCAAAGGTTGTTTTTTTCCCCTCTTAGTAGGAGACATAATACGTTCTCCCTTGACAAATCAACTAACCAAATAATGGAGAGAAAAGACTAAATTACTGCAAGGGGAAGACAAATCCATATCTTCACTTTTGTGGGCTCTGGGGTGCTAAGTCAGAAATTGACCAGCTAATTTATCAACTAAGAGGGAGGAGGAGTAAGAGGTTGAGTGGATCTTCTACAAACGTGATCATCAGCTCTTAGAAATGGATACCCACTGCTGGTGAGTCAATTCCGACTCATGGCAATCCCATGTGTGTCAGAGTAGAACTATGCTCCATAGGGCTTTCAAGGCTGTGACCTTTTGGAAGCAGACTGCCAGGCCTTTTTTCTGAGGTGCCTCTGGGTAGGTTCAAAATGCCAGTCTTTCAGTTAGTGTTGTTGTTGTTAGGTGTTGTCAAGTCGATTTTTGACTCATAGCAACCCCATGTGACAAAGTAGAACTACTATAGGGTTTCCTAGGCTGCAGTCTTTATGGGAGCACACTGCCAGGTCTTTCTCCCATGGAAGCCACTGGGTGGGTTTGAACCACTAACTTTCAGTTAGCAGCTGAGCATTTAACCATTGTGCCACCTGGGGACTCCATAGAGATAGGTGACATTTCTGAAAATTTCATATTGTAGTCTAACCTTTTAAGCTAGTGAGCAAGATATTCTAGTTTTATTAAACTTACTATGAAAACAAACACTAACCTACATTAAGAATTCAAAATAAGTCACTAAATAAAAATAAATCAGTGGGCTTTGTAAAATTTAGATAGCTCAAATACAGACAGTACCTCATATCATATACTCTTATAAATATGCCTTCAGGACTATTTGCTTCAGGCAGAATTTTGTGTACTCTTAATCTAAGGATACCAGAGCACCAGAAAAAGATGGGAAAGCAAAGCAGAAGGTGAAAAGATGTTAGTTAAATGTGGCTGGGGACAGAGACAGGAGGTAATGAAAATTCTCCAGGCCAAATAAAATATCTAAAACTGATATATCTACAGGCCATTCCATTAAAAAAAATACATACTGATGTAATCTTTTATTGTCCAATCGATTTGTATTATTTTTCTATTAGTAAGATCCTTTTGTAGTTTTAAGTATATGTTAAATGCCTACATGTACCTGGCACTCTGTTAAGCACTGAGAAATAGACAAAAAAGAATAAGACAAAGTTTTTCTTCAAGGAACTCTATGATCTAGCTGGGAGACCAGACAGAACAATTAGAAAACACTTAAATGTACTAGGCTTCATGATAAGCTTTATTTTTTTAAAAAAATAAGTGAATACAGTCTAAGGCATATAGAGAGGGCTTCAGTGGAGGAAGTACAAGTGAAAAAAGCTGCCCCTTGAAGAAGGAGAATGGAGGGAAAAAGTGTTTCTGTCAGAGGGAATAGCAATGACCAAGTAAGAGGGCAGGAATTCCCACATTTTGAGCTCACACCCTCTCCTCAACCTTCCTTGTTTGGGCAATCTCTTTTGTCTTGCATAATTAATTTCTTTACCTCCACTGGCTCTTTTCTCTCATCATACAAACATGCTCAAGTTACTCTGATCCTAAGAATGAAACAAAAACACCTGTACCCTTTTGATATAGCCTAGTTCTCTGTCTCATCCTACTGATTTCTCTGTTTTCTCTTCATGAAACATTAAAGTTTGACTTTATTCTCTGCCAATGCTGTCCTCAACTGATGGTAATCTGACATCCTCTGCTTGCCATCTACATGCAACTGCATTTGCTTAATTCTTCAGCACCTCTTAATGGCCAACCCAGTGGTTTCTCTTTTTAGTTCTCATTGGTTGATTTTCTACATCTTCTCTTGGATTTGTTAACTCTTTCTTTCCTGATTCTCTCTCTGTGTCTTTAACATCTTCTCAATCCCCTTTTCTCTACCTACTCCTTAGTATGTTCATCCATTTGTTAAACATTTATTGAGCACTGATTTGGCACCAGGCACTAGGGTTATAAATGAATAAATGTTATGGTTTTTGTCTCCAGTGACATTTATGTGTGACAGACACATAAACAGATAATCAAAATATGTGGGAAGTGTACCGATAGGGATTTGACAGAGTGCTGTGAGAGAAGTATCTAACTCATCCTGGGATAAGAGGGTGGGGGAGTCCTAGAGAGGGTTTCTTGAAGGAGGGTGACGCCTGACTAACCAAGCAAAGGGGGAGGTGCATGGATTGTGGAAAGCATTCTAAGAAGAAAAAATAGTATGGGCAATGGTACTGCATGCACACTTTGATGTTATTGAAACAAAATTGAGGATAGAGATGGGTAGGAAAGGAGCCTGGAGAGGTATTTAGGAGGTGGATCACAGAAGGCTTCCTGTGTCTTGTTAAAGAGCTTGCCTGTTTTTGTAGGTAGAGACCTTGAATGGGTGTAAGCAAAGAAGGGATACCACTTTATGTTCTCCATATATCATATGAGTGGTTCCTATTGTCTTTCTTTGCTCATTTTCATTGCCTGTATTCTGTCTCCACAGCATGAAAAGTTAATACATTTCTAAAGAGCGCATTTTACTTCCATTCATCAGCAAATTTAGGTCATTATATTGTAGGTATGAAAAGCACAAAAACCAAACTCATTACCATTGGGTGGATTCCAACTCAGAGAGCCTATAGGACAGGATAGAACTGCCCTATAAGGTTTCCAGGGGGCAGCTGGTGGATTCAAACTGCTGACCTTTTGCTTAGCAGATGAGCTCTTAACCATAACGCCACTAGGGCTCCTGTTACAGGTATTAAGCCCGTTGCCATCGCGTCGATTCCGACTCATAGTGACCCTTTTGGACATAAATTATCTTTTACATTGTCTCAGATATATTATTACTTTTCAGTAGTAAAAAGTAGTATAGAGAAAAGCTGGCATTTCTATGTGCTTCACTTTTCAAGGTGCTGCCACATGATAGCAAAGCACGACGACTTTTTGTAACAAGTGGTGGACTTAAAAAGGTTCAAGAGATAAAAGCAGAACCTGGATCTCTCCTTCAAGAATACATCAACAGTATTAATAATTGTTACCCAGAAGAAATAGTAAGGTACGAAAAATGAACTTTGAGGTGTTCAAAATTAAAATGTAGTTTTTTTGTTTTCAAATGTAGGTTTTATATCCACTGTGTCAAAATATAGACTTTGAAATACTACATGAGACTAATGTATATCTACTTCTCTCGATCTCTTTTTTCCCCAAATTAAATGTTCTGATTGACACACACATTTCCAAATCAAACTGGAGTGCCTTTTGAAACATTTCTCTACTAATGTAATATATGCTTTACTACATAGTATCCAAATATAAAGTTTAATTAAATTAATAAAGTATATAGAAAATTTAATTTCTTCAGTCTATAAATTGTGAGTACCTGATTTAGAAAAGGTATAGACTGTAAATCTATTTGCATGGTTCCCTGCATATTACTTTTCTGCCTTAAGCTCACATTTACATTAATGAGACTATTACAAGTATAAAAGAGATGTTGAGTGGTAAAAAGAAAATTACTAAATGCCAAAAAAATTAAATAATGTTGTTTTCTATATGCAGGTGCCCCATAGTAATGCAGCAGGAAGCTGTTTTCAAGATTAATATATATTTTAATGAGGTTGATTTGCAGAGAATTAAACCCAAACCTCAGTCCCTATAACCTGAAAGATAACTATACCACTAAACCCAAAATAAATAAAAGCAAAGTTAACCCAGAAAAGATGGAATTATTTTAACATATGAATCTTGAAAAATGCCCACAAAATACGTAGAATAAAAGAGCATACACCTGCTTCTCACTTATTGACTATCTCGTTATCCAACATTTCACATTTAGGACAATAGGAAAAAATTTACTATCTATTTTGCTCATTAACGAGGTGGCTGGCAGGGCAGCATTAGCTGCAAAGCATCCCCTCCGTGGAGGAGGGTTTCTGGGTGGCCTCCAGGAAGCTGGGCTATGCTGCCCTGCACCCTCCGCTGCCTCTTGCTGGCAGTGTCCAGCTGTCTCACAGGGCCAGCCTCCTCCGGGGCCACAGCCTCTGGGCAGATGCGCAGGCAGCACAGAACTTGTTCTGGGTTCCCAGCTCTGTGCAGCCTGAGGCCCTGCAGCTCAAAATTGCTGTGGGGTGGGAAGGGAGGAAAGAAAGAGGCATCAGAGAAGGTGTCTGGAAGAAATGTGTGCGAATTTAATGACATCTCAAGTGAGCTGAACTGGGTCTGAAGCTTCCACCTTGGTGGGCCCGGGTGCAGTGCCCTCGTAGGAATTCTGAGCCTCAGTGACTCGCCAGGCCTGGAAGACTGAAAAGGCTCCTGGATCATGAACGCAGGGCTTGCAGTTGTGGGAATGGAGGAGCTCTGGAGGCAGCTCCCGGAGGGAAGCTCTGAACCCAGCACAGGAGGAAGGTGAAGTGGTTAAGCTGTGGGCCCTCCAGTCACACAGCCCAGCTTTATCCAGCTTTGTCTCCTCCAAGACTCCTTCTCCACCAAGGAAAAATCTATAACTGGACTTGTCAAAGTGATAAGCACATCAGTAAATCTTAGTTAGCTGTTATTATTTCTATGATCATATTTTCTTAAAAAAAAAAAATCAGACAAATGGATGGTCTGAAAACAGAAAAAAGAAAATCCTCCATTTTTCCATAACGCTGATTTTTGCATAATGACCTGGTCTTTGGAACCTAACCGTCTTAGTCAACTAATGCTGCTATAACAGAAATATCATTAAGTGGATGGTTTTAACAAACAGAAGTTTATTCTGTTACAGTCTAGGAGGCTAGACGTCCAAATTCAGGGCGCCAGCTCCAGGGGGAGGCATTCTCTCTCTGTCAGCTCTGGAGGAAAGTCGTTGTCATCAATCTTCCCCTGGTCTAGGAGCTTCTAGTGCTGTTCCTGGCTTTGCTTTCTTGGTGGTAATGAGGTCCCCTTGTCTTTCTGCCTGCTTCTCTCTTTTATATCTCAAAAGAGATTGACTCAAGATACACCCTAATCTTATAGATTGAGTCCTGCCTCATTAACATCATAAAGGTTAGGATTTACAACACATAGGAAAATTACATCAGATCACAAAATGGAGGACAACCATACAGTAGTGGGAATCATGGCCTAGCCAAGTTGACACACATTTTTGGGGGACACAGTTCAATCCATTACACTAGCCATGTCAATAAGTGAGGAGTGGGTGTATTTGTATACATTTTTCCAATTCTACCCTTATTTCTTATTTTTTCCAATTAACATTAGAAAATATAAATTCCAATTTTTTAAACTATCTAATTTATGAAAGTTGTAACTAATATCTGTTCATTCTTCCTATTTAATACCAGTGGTTTTTAATACATATTGTGACATTGATTTTAAAATCACAAAAATAATTTTCTTTAAGATTAAAATTAGCTTTCTATTCACATATATTCAGTCAGTCAATTATTTCAAGAGGTACACGTTTATGCAGTTTTGAGAGGTTTATGAGAACTCCTTGACCAAAAGCGTTCTAATAACTTAGCTTTGAAAATATTAATGTACATATCAAAGAGGAAGGTATATCATAACATATATACCTACTATATATATTATATACAAATATACAAATACAAAAGAAGTTAGTATAATATATAAAATATGTGTGAAACCACTAGGTGAAGAAAGATGAAGATTTTTTATCAGAAAAGAAAGTTGATTTTTGTACATGGAATATAGGTCCCTTCAGGAAGAATGCTATGTTATGTAAATTAAGATAACTCTCCATGCAATTTCTTAACATAAACAATATTATAAAAAACTGAAAGAAAGCAAACTAAAAGGCCTCCAAAGTGGAATGAGCTATTAGAATCAACCAATGGTGAGACATTTTCTTGAATAGAAGTTTTCTTTACTACTCTCTCGGTGTATTTTAACTCAGCAACCGGTGAAAATCAAAAAACTCTTTCATGTTAGAATTTAATCTGTTTTTTGTCAAAAGACCATTGCAGATTTTGATCTTCTTGCATTCTGTGACCTGGGATTTCATTTAAAAATTGGGCTAAGTACCATGAAGTATTTTGGTTAGCTGACAAACTTTTCCAAATTTCTAATGTTTTTTAAAGCATTAGGTTTGCAAAAGGTGTTCTGTAGAAGTCTTTGAAACTTTGTCTTTCTATGAAAATAGAAAAACAATCTCAAAATGGTTTTATTTTTGTAATTATATAGTTCTTGAGATTTACTTGGTGACTATTTTAGAACTAATTATTCTTTATGAGACAGATAGATTATCAATGGATACATTCTCTTGCTGTTACTAGCTTAAACATTTCATATTGCCCTCCAATTTTAGTAATTAAAAAAAATGTTAAAAAAATTGTAATAAAGGTAAGTGGTATGATGAGAGAGAAGGGCCCCTGAAATAGAAGTTAGAAGACCTAAGCTCTAGTCTTGACTCTGCTATTTCTGTGTGTCCTTGGTAATTCATTTAATATCTCTGGACTTCAGTTTTTTTCACTTGTGAAATGGGAAGAATTTCTGCCTCCCTCTTAGAGTTTTTGTCAGAATCAAATGACATAACATATATAAAGCCTCTCTGAATGTAGTGTACCATTCCACAGCTATAAGGTATTTTCTAACTCCTTTGTCTTCTGGGTCTCTTCCTACACTGGGAAGAATTTGCTTTTTGGAAAATATCTCATTTGGGGATGCATGCAGACAATTTTCCATTCAGTACATTTCTGGTATCATAACAAATAATAATAACATAAGTTATTAATAACACAAACTCCACATGTGTCTAGGGTAAGGTTAATTCACTTATATTTTTAAAGGCCATAGACAAGCAAGTTGGGATAGCAGTGGCTGATAGAGGGAAGGAACTTCTGGTTGCTTTTTGGAGGTTCATTTTGGTTCTTTCATGAGGGCCACGGCTAAAGACTAGGGCTTGGGTAGCAAACAAACCTAGGTTCCTGTCTCAGTCCCATCTACTTACTAGATGTGTGACCTTGGAGATAGCACTTAAAGCCCTCTTAGCCACGGTTTCCTCATCTGTAAAATGTGGATAATTACCTACTTCAGAGTTGTTGTCAGAATTAAATGAGATAATGCTCATGAATTCCTTAGCCAAAGGGCTTGCACATAGGAAGAATTCAACTCAGTAAATACCTGTTATCCTTTTATGCTTTCCTATTTTCATTATTCTGTCTATTGAGATTAAATAAAATCTTTAGGAGGATAAAATTAAGCATCATAATAATACATGGGAAACTATGTAGCAATACTTGGCCACTTACTATTTTTCACTGTTTTACTTTTGATGATAAATGCATATCAAGCAAATTTTTGTTCCATTTTTGCAAACATAAACAACATAAGTAAAGATTATTCTGGTTAGATTTAAATTCCTTTTAGTTGCCGTGTAGGGGTTCCAAACTTTTTCCATGTCAAAGAGGCTACTTTTGGATTCCTTAGCATCATATAGAGTCTAGTTGGAATGGGGCTTTCTGACAGTTAATGAACAACTTTATATAATGTATTTATGGGTCTACATACTGAGATTTGTATGTAGTCTATATGCATTTGGGGGAGGTTATGTAATCCTGAGTGTGCACTCTGCTGATGGGGACAGGGGCCTAAATGTTGAGCACATTTCCTTCCCTCTGGGGAATCCCAGAGACTGTGGAGTCTGAGGTCCTTGGGGAGAGGTATAACAATGGCAGTGAGCTTGGAAATCAGCCAGATAAAACCTCAAGAATTACTGGTAGACCCTAATTGATCTATTGGAGACTTTATTTTAAAGCAACACTATCCAATAGAAATGTAATGTGACAGCCATCTATGTAATTTTTAAATTTTCTAGTGGCCACATTTAAAAAAGTAAAATGAAACAGGTGAAATGAATTTTAATAATATATTTTCTTTAACCCAATATATAACAAAAATATTATAATTTCAACTTGTAATAGATGTAAAAATATTAATGAATTTTTTTTATGCTAAGGTTTTGTAATCTGGTATATATTTTATCACTTCCAGCATATCTCAATTCAGATGCTAAATTTCATCAGAAATACTTGATCTATATTTAGATTTTATAAAATTTACACTTGAAAAAGTAGATTCACAAGTTGTTCCAAACATACCTAAAAGTTTTCCAGTAACTGAATTGAGTATGTTTTTAAATTTAATTAAAATTAAATAAAATAAAAAATTCAGTCCTCGGTTGCACTATCCATATTTCTAGTGCTCAACAGCCACATATGGCTAGTGGCTACCATATTAAATGGCACAGTTTATAAAGTTTTGTTGTATTTTTTCTAACCTATGTAATTTATATATAAAAAGTACTTATCTTGTGACTGGCATGTATATAAGGCCTAGCAGGGTGAGGCTGGCTTTAAAATTTGTGACTAACTCAGACAGAGAGAAACAATTGTTAAGTCGTCAGTGTAAGAATACTTCAAAGAAGTCCATTGCTGAAGAGCAATTTTTTCAAGAGTAGGGGGCCTTTAGAGGAGAAACATTCTTCAAGGTAGCTTTTTATGTATATATGTATGGATGTATGTATGTACATATGTATGTATGTATTTATCTTTTTAACTACGACTGCCTAGAAGCACACTATTGAGAAAATACAGCTCTGTTTTGTACACCTTAACTTGACAACTGTGGAAGAAATTAGTGTAGTATAGATTATGTGAGTTTTTAAGTCAAGTATCTGAGGCAAGAAAAATATCACAAAGGACAAAGCAAAGCCCCTTACATTAAGTTTTATCTGGAGAATATGCCTTCAAAAAACCAAACCCATTGCTGTTGAGTTGATTCTGACTCATAGTACTGCCCTGTACAGTTTCCAAGTAGCAGCTGGTGGATTTGAACTGCTGACCTTTTGGTTAGCAGTCAAGCTCTTAACCACTGTGCCACCAGGACAGTCTTAATTATTTTTAGTGTTTTTGGAAAATTTTAAGAGATCTTTCATAGATTTTTGATCCATTTATTATATTCTAGAATGTGTGCCAAATTTGATTTGACATGTTTATATGCATGTAAATTTTTTCTATGTCATATCAAGCATTCCACAATGCATTAATCAATATATTTAATAATTTTATACTGAATCTTTTATAAAATGTTAAATATATATATATAATTTATAGAACTATAGATACTCAAGAGACAATGAAAATGATTCATTTTCAAGGTTTGTATGAGGGAATATTTGTAAACCATTTATTAAATAGCTCTTTAATGTCAGTTATACTCCCAGAAATTTCTGCTTTTATGGGTGTCCATATCTGATGAAGACATACACTGGAAATAATCTCTAAGGGAATCAGAATATAGAAGTTGATTACTAATGATAGACTTTGTTGTCTAACTTATGAAAAAAATCTATTAGCTATGATAACAAAAGCAGCATCAGTCACTTAGTATAATAAAGTCTCTGTAATAAAAAATTGCTACTGGATTGAAGTATCTTGCTTTGAAAATAAGTATCTCTTCTTTGCCACTACAGTTATATTCTTAAATGTTTTCCCACTTATCTAGCACAGTATTATGCGATGATATCTTCTTTTTTGATAGTCTTTAACTTTATACATTAAGCATTATTAGTGTATGATTATTCAGGGTGTATTTGAGGTTTCATTCATAGAACTATTTCAGATAAATACCTTATATTGAATTTCTTGTGTCTTCTGGGCTGAATATTTTCACAAGTATCTAATAGAAAATTTTCTTTTTCAGGTATTATTCCCCTGGATATTCAGATACACTTCTGCAGAGAGTGGACAGCTATCAACCACTTATTAACTAAGCAAAATTATGTTTTTATGCTCAAATTCACAGCAGAAAATTTATGATTAACAATTGTTAAAGCTCTTAATATTTGAGCTAAATACATTCTAGATTTATTCAACGTGAAATACATTTAGGTAATGTTTTCTAAATTTATACAATACTTTAAAAATTAGTAACTTCACTGTATGAGGAACTATTCATGGCTATTTGCATATATAGGATTTGCTCTTAAGGTAGATTAAAAAAAGATACTAAAGGCTTTTAAGGTATTTGTTATTGTTCTAGTAAAAAATCACACCTACATGCACACACATACACACGCGTGTGCACATGTATACACACACATCATACACACACCCCTCAATGAGATATAGATAAGAGATGGTGTTCAAAAAATCCTTAGTTATTACGGCCAATTCCTTATATGCACAGCAAAACTGGCTTTGTAAATTCCACACTAGGACATAGGGGGGAAATAGTTGAAAGAGGAAAGTGATAACAGGGATACATCATGTACTCTGATGCTGGTTACATAAATGCATTAGCCTAACACAAACTCTCTGGATAATTTGTTCAGTTTTCCTAAGAACTTAGGAAGACCCTACTCTTCATCACAAGTTTTCCACACACTCTTCATCTTCCCCTACCTGTTCCTTACGTTCATGAGGCTGGAGAGGGTAGAAGTCAGTATTAAGCATCATACTACTGCACACACACTTTCCATCTTCATCGAAAGGTTTCTCAGTCCAACTTTGTGAAGAAACAAGGAAGCAGCCATGAAAAATGGTCCTCAGTATTCCCCTGTCCTATCTTCACTTCCCCAAGTTTCAAAAGTCACATTCTCAGGGATTAAAGGAATTATTTGAAAAGAATACCATCAAGCTTAGACTTCACATGCATGTTCACTTAGGAAGCTGTATGGAGGTGGGGGAGAATTTCAATAAAATTTAAATAAAAACCGCATTAGAATTGTTTCATTTTTCTTATCTAGTGTGTTTCTGACACTGGAGGATTTGTGATAAATTCAGGGGTCTTGGTTAGATGGTATGTGTGTGTCTTTTGATCTAAAGAGACATTACTTAAAGTGATCTCTCCGGGGGGCCTGAAGAGGAGGTGACTGTATGACCCAGAGGGCCCCTTGGCCACAGTGTTTCTAGTTTGGCCGTTTTCAGGTTTCCTTTTTGAACTCACTCCCTCTCTCTTTTTTTCCCTCAAAACAACCTACCCATTTGTTTTAGTATTGTCTGGGTTCTTCTCTGTCACCATTATTTCCCAACAGTGCATTGCTTTGTTGCAGCTTTTAAAACTTCATTATATCCAAGCTTGCCCCCATTTTTTTTTGCCTTATACCAATGTAGGATTGCTTGTGAATGGACTTTTCAATATTTCTTTGGACCTATGTTGTTTCCTTGAAGTAATTCTTTGATTTATTAGACCAAAGAAAATGTAATTTTTATTCCCAATTTTGTAGCTTTCCTTTCTTTCCTTCCAGCATGCCCAACTTGTCTTACGAATCTTTTAACAATCTGAGAAAATAAAGGTAGTTTTAATCTTTCATTTTTTCTTAGGTAACATGTTAATGATGACAGAAATTGGTCTATCTGGGTTAAAACCTCAGAGGTTATGGGAATGGTGAATTTCTTTCATGTATTTTCTTGCCATTGTACTTTGTACTTGAGCTTTTTTCACTTCATCATTTCATACTTAATAATTAGTATTAAAATAAGAAAGTAATAAAATATTTCATCGTGTTAGGATGGGTGTCATCGTTTGATCACGTGCTATTTGGAAGATTATGCTATGAGATGCTTCTTGGCCTGAAACGTTTAAAGCAAAATGAAGATTTTTCTTACTTTTTGGAAGGTCTATTGTTTGAGATTAAAAAAATAATAAAATTTTCTATTTGTGCTAGAGCAAAGATATTGTCTTTCATTGATGGTATTCTCTGATATTTTCATCGCTGGTTTGAATTATGCCAATTCCAATTCTCTATGCAGATTAACCCCTGCCCCACTTGCCTGCAGTTTATTTAAAATTCAGCTATCATTAGGATATCTCATTTAACTTATATGAACAACTATTTATTTTTAGGACTTCAGGAATAGAATTGGTTGAACCTTATTATAGATTCAGTTCACCTCTTGTGGAAATCGGTGAGTATTAGTGGTGCCTGCAAAGATGCTGAAAACCTGGATTCTAATCATTACTTTGTTAAAGAGAGGGGTGATAATACTTGCTTAGCTTACCCATAGGATACTTATAAAAATAACTTGCAATCCTGTATGTAACAGTTTTCTAAACTGTCCATTCCATACAAATGTGACATGTTATTTGTGGGTAATCTGATAGCTCTCTGATAAAATTGCTGTTTTGATGACAAATTACACATTTTGGTAAGGAATTGTGCAGTATCTCCCAGGTCTCATACACTCAGACAAGTGGAGTTTAAACCAGATGATTTATGATAAAGAAAAAATACATTTCCTGCCCTCATGGAGTTTTCTAATATAAACACATGTGCCCACACACAGGGAGTGGAATAGGCACAAGATATTGAACATGAAACAGGCATATTTAACTTAGAATGTAAAAACAAATGACAATGTCATATATACAGGATGTTGACCTGTTTTTCTAACCCTTTCAAACGCCCCCCTTAAAGAAAGGATTAAAGGTTTGTTTGTTTTTAAACTTGGTTTGAGGTCCTGCTTAACATAAACCCTGACCTTAAATTCCTGGGTGAGGCCATCTCCAATCTAGGATGTCAAGTTTAGAATCTAACCTTGGAAGAATGAAGCATTTTTCTGTTGTTTTCAAATATCCAACCCTTTGATTAAGATAGATGCTAGCAAACATTGAGGATTATAAACTGTAGCTTATTCTGCCACAAACGTCACTGTTTAGAAAGTGTTGATTTGTAGCTATTGTGCTTGTTTCGGAGATTGAAAGGATTAAATGGTAGTCTTAACTATAATGATTGCATTTACCAGTTGGTTAAAAGACTTTGGATTGTTAAAATTTGATTTGTCCAGGCAATTAGTTTTCTAGTAATACTGATTACTAAAGTTTAAAAAAGATAACAGTTTTCTTGTTTCATGGAAGATGGAGTTTTTACCTTTTTTGTTTATTTCAGTGGGTTTAGAGAAAAGTATATAAAGTTCTCCTTGGTAATAATTTAGGGATCAAAATATTTATAATATTAATGATTGACATAGCATTTGCTATAATAGATTTCAAACAGTGCTGTTTGTGGCTTGTCAGTATTATAACAATATTATGGTTTGGAATAGATATTTATACATTAAATAATTTTTTCAATGTATATAGAATTTGTAGTAATGCACTCTTGCTAAAATTTATACTGTTTCAAATACATTACTGATGGTAAATGTTTATCAAAGTATTTTTGGATGTAAAGAAGTTTAACTCTTTGAGTACTGTGGTCTATATTGAGTTCTTTTTTTACATTTCTGTAGCATGTATAGTTTAAACCATACAAATTTAATTAAAGTACCTAAGATATTAATCATTTTTCCATTTTTACTTCACCAACTCAAGTATAACCTTTTTCTTATATGGATGAAATGTGCCCTGTTCTCTTCGGTCCCTCGTGCCACCCAGCACTGTGGTAGGCTGGACTGAGAGGACATGAAGCCTTCTGGCTGACTTAGGTCAGGCTAGCTCTATGACCATGGCCAAGTCTCTTCAGGCGCCAAGGCCTTAGTTTTCTGAAACATTACGGTGTGGTGTGGAACCGAAATATTGGCAGTTTGAATCCACTAGCCACTCCTTGGAAACCCTATGGGGCAGTTATTCTCTGTCATATAGGGTCACTCTGAGTTGGAATTGATGGCAACGGGTTTGGTTGGTTTGTTTTTGGTTTATAGTGTTAAAGAGACCCACACAGTAGACTCTCAAAACTACCATACTCTGACTCAGTGGCCTTTGGCAAGTTACTTAATCTCTCTAAACTTCGATTTCCTCAGCTAGATAGATAGATAAAATTAAAAGGGCTAATAGCACCCACTTCATTGGATCCTGAGGATTAAATGAGGATGAGTAAGCACAGGGCCTGGTGGTAAGCAATGCCACCTCTCGACTATATGATATCTTTGTATAAATATGAAAAAAATGCCTAGTCCTAAAGACACTTTATTTCTGTCTGGCAAAAATTGTTGTACTATTCTGATTTTCTCACATCAAGACACTTTACTGCCATCTGCTGGGAAATTCTCTTAATAAATATGCAAATCCACACTGTCTAAGAAGTGAACCATGCCCCCTTAGATGTGATGGTGCCCTTGTGTAGCATACACCCTGCACAACTGTAGGCATAAATGATCCATAAATGGTATTTGCTACTACTGTTTTCGCTTTTGCAAATGGGGTTTGGAAGAGAATTCCAGATAAATAATGCACTGTATGAAGCAGTTCATTTTTAAAAAAATCAAAGAGTCAAAGTTAATCTCAATAAAAAGAATCAGCATTTTGTTACAAAGCTTGGAAACATTAGTGCCCACTGTTTTCCTCACTTCCCACTTCCCCAACAGAAAAGTATATTCTACAATACAGCCTGCAATTTAAGTTAGCAAAGATACTAACTAAGCCATTACTCTTGCATTTATAAACACTGAATGTAAGACCAAATTGGGGGACATAGTTTATGTATGCAAAAGCAAAGCACATTTTGGAGTAACCCATATAGCCTTTCAATCTTGATTTTTAAAATTGGATCAAGAATATTATACTAATGGTGTATCATTACTGCAAAATGGCAGATGTCTGGAGAGCAACTCTTCTGGGATTCCATGCACCTTTCTTCATCCCAGAACCTGGACTGGGATAGGACAGGTGACCCTCTCTTGTATCAAGATAGTCTTTATTCAAGTGACAATTATAGTACCTTTTGCACACAAAATGGGAGAATCTTGCTCATTTTCAAAACTAACAACACAATCAAGGAGAAGACTGAGCAAAACTGGATAAGGGAAGTTTATTAATAATAGGAACACTCTCCCAGGAGACAGGATTTATCACCCTGGCAAGGATCCCAGGTGCTAGCATGGCTCTTGGAAGCTTGGAGAAAGCAACAGCCCACAGTAAATGAAGTGGAAATGACACAACTTACCATGCAGATGAGAAGAAGATAACCAAACGGCTCAGAGAAATGAGCATGCTAGAGTGCACCAACTGGTGACCCACATCCCCATGTCATCCACTACTATTGCACTGGATACTCTCTCAGCTCACAAGTCTACTCTCATGGCGGGGGGTGGGTCCTTTATGGCTAGCTGACAAAGGAGAAAAAGGCTGAGATTGGTTCACAGAAGGGTTGGCTCATCATGAGAGCATTCAAGCCAAAAATGGATGCTGCTGCACTATAACCCCAATTAAGGGGCCTAAAAAAGTAGTGAGGGGAAATTCTCCTGATACGCAAAATTACTGGCCATGCACCTGGCCATCCACTTTGTGTGCAGAGATGAGTGGCTCCAGGTGAGAATATACACAGATTAATGGACAGTGGTGAATGATGTGTCTGGCTGGTCAGGGACTTAGAAGGGGAAAGACTGGAAGATCAGGGACAAGGTGTGGATACAAAGTACGAATAACTTTGTGTTGCATGTTAATGCTTATTAAAGAGCACTTGTTACAGAAAAGACATTAAACAACTCTATAGACAAAATGACTCAGCCGGTGGATGTCAGCCAGCCTCGGCCACTCTAGTGCTGGCACAATGGGCAAATGAATGTAGTAGCCATGGTGGCAGGGATGGTGGCTATGCAGAGACTCAACAGCAAGGAGTGCCATTCACCATGGCTGATCTAACTACTGCTGTTGCCAAATGTCCAACCTGTTAGCAACAGGTTGAAACCAATGCTGCATTCCCAATAGAGAACGATTCCTCAAGGAGACCAACAAATCACGTGGAGGTAAGTTGACTCCATTGGACCTTCTTCACCCTGGAAAGGGGTCAGGAATTCAGCTTGACTGAGATTGTTATATTCTGGGTATAAGTTTGTCTTGATTATCCACTAGGAAAGGGATTTAGCCAGTACCACTATCTGAGGACTTAAGAATGTTTGATCCACTGACACAAGATCCCACACAATACTGCCTTGGACAAAGAGACCCACTTTTCAGCAAAGGAGGTAAGTCAATGGGCATATGATCATCTGGTCCACTGGTTCTATCACATATTGCACCACTCTGAAGCCACTGGCATGAAAGAATAGTGGAACGGCCTCTTAAAGACACAG